AGGGTGAGAGATGAGGAAGAGGGAATACCCACCAGGAGCAGATTGCAAGGGTTTTCCGGGTGTCTGTAGTGATCATCAAACTATCAGCCTCGTTTGAGTCGGTGGTCGGCGCGTGCCTCACTTCAGGAAAAAAAAGCCGCTGGGTAATTCTGCTCGTTGAGGAACACGAGGATCCAGTTATACAAGCTATCACAAGGAAAAGAAATAACATTGGAACGTTGTGATGGTCGATAAAAATGTCTCTCGGTTCAGTTTCGTGTCGTTGTTTTCCTTCCGCCAAGGTCGCCAAGGTCGGCTGTGGCTCGTTGGTTCGAGGGCGTCTGCGGCGGCTGTGGCGGTGCTGCGGGCCCTCTGGCGTTCAGTGCCCACTGATTCGCCAATCTTTATGTTCCGCCTTTAGAATGGAAATGATTCTAAGTTGGGAGAAGGGATTCTCTGGCAGTGAGTAATAGCCTCCCCTTTGGGCTCTTGCCGTCGGATATTCCCGTGATATCTGCATTGATATCGCCAACACCAAAGGCTGCGTCCCCGGTCCGCTTGCACCGCCCCTGGACATCCCCGTCAGACGCCCCTCACGCCCCCGCCCATCCTAGACACACCACCGCCCTCCCCTCGCTCCCCTCCAACCCCCGCCTAATCTGGCCCCTCCCTGCCCCCGCCCCTCCTCGCGTCTGCCTCAAATACCCCTCGACGTTTGTCAGCATCGGCCACATCCGTCAGCGAACTGCCTCGTGGAACAGCTCTGGCATCGCCCTCGGCCTCGACGTCCTCCTCGACTCTGGCCTAATTCCTCCTCCTCAGTCTGCTCTTCAACTCCAGTCTAAACTCTTTCCTAGCCTCGGCCTCGATCGAATTCCTGCACCTCGTCTAACTCTTCATCCGCCTCCTACTCCTCCTCCTCCTCCTTTCCTCCTCCTCCTCCCCTTCCTCCCCTCCTTCAACCATGACGTCTGCCACCTACGGCCCTCCTCTCCACTACCACCTTATGCCGTACTTCTTCAACACAGGAATTCCCGCCTACGTCGAGAAGAGGGCCGCCCAGGCACCCGAAGGAGACCAGCTGAGGCTGTCCGTCTTGGCGAACCAGCTGGCCATCACTCAGCTGAACCAGGTGGTGACGCAGCTGCTCAAGATCGGCGAAAAGGAAGGCGCTGCAGGTGAGGAGGTGCTTTCCAGTGGGATGCTGGGGGAGGAGGGCTGAGGAGGAGAGGGAGTGGAAGTGCGATGGACGGTGAGAGAGAGAGGAGGGGGACAGAGTGAGATTGGGAGAGGGAGAGAAAAGAGAGAAGTGAGTGAGAGCGAGATAGAGGGAGAGAGAGAGAGAGAGGATTATTTTGCTTTTGTGATGAAATACTAGTGTTTATGAAGACTTAAAGGTATATATAACAAAAATATTATCAAAATCATGTTACCATTGATAACTGATTATCAATTTGGTGGTAAAGATAACAGTTAACAGCAATAATAACTGTGATGTTAATCATGAATACTACTCTCATTAATAGCAGTTGCTGTAGTAGTAGTAGTTGTAGTGGAAGTAGTAGTAGTAGTGGTAGTAGTAGTCGAATCAGTAGCAACACTAATAGTAATAATAACATTGAAAGCAGAAATAGTAACAAGAGCAGCATAGTCCCTAATCCTCATTGACGACAACAGCGGAATCGAACAGAGTCTCAAACCCCTTCCTCCTTCAGATCAGCCTCCGAGGATGACCTCAGAGCTGCTCGAGTTCCAGCGGAAGCTCCTCGAGAATGTAATCAAGGGTTTTACGTCGCTGGACAAGACGTTGAGGGACCTTGACTCTTCGAGGAAGCAGGGGGAAGAGAGTGCCATGCTGGATGCCATGCGTGAGTTCGGTGATGGGGTGAGGGGGGGGTGAGAAGGGGAGAGGGGTTTGTGGTGATGGTGGAGAGGGGGTGGAGGGTGGGGTGGGTGCGGGGTGGGGGCAATAACGAGAAGGGGTGGATGTGACGGGGGGGGAAAATTGGTTTGAGGGATGGGATTGTGTGTGGTGAGGTGGGGGGGGTCGAGTAGGGGTGGGGGATGGGGGTTTAGTTGGTGAGAGGGGGGAGTGTGGTGGTGTTGGTGAAAGGGGTTGAACGGTGGGGGGGGGCGAAGTTGGAGGTGATGTTGGTGGCGAGGGGGTCAGGGGAGGGGAGTGAGTTTGGAAGCAGCGGTTGTAGCGAGAGGGGGGGGGCGGGAGGTGGTGATGGTGCTGATAAGACTGGGAAAGAAGGCGGTGATGGCGAGAGCAGCGCTTGTGGCGACGGAATGTGATGGAGATGTTGCGGTGATGGTGAGCTGGAGTGAAGATAGTGCTAAGATGGCGAGGGGGCAATGGTGGTGGTGGTGATGGTGATGGTGTCATGGAATTAATGATGGTGGTGCTTGTCTGGTTTACTTATATAGTAGATAGATATATCATCATCATTATCATTATTCTTTTCATTGCGATGGTAATAATGGTAAATGATAATGTTAAATGTAAATGACAATAATG